TTGTTTTTACTAAGCATCTTAAACTCATGTTAGCTAGTATGTGGTTTAGAAACACATTTTAAAGAATTCAAGGTACAAAGAATTATTAAATAGCTTAACTTGATATTACACCTTCAGAAATTAATGCTAAGACAGTCATTTCATGCATTTGATTCTGTTGAACTGCTGAGGAGCAATTAAGAGTTAGACTCTTCTGTAACTGAATCAGAAACTCCAATAAATTGTTTTTTTTAAACCACTAACAAGTTTGATATTTGACAGATCAGACGACTCTGGCTTTGGATTCTTTTGCTAAACTGATCATTAAAAATGTTAAAGGCTGTTACAGCAATGCCTCACCTTCACAGGAAAAAATTAAGACACCAATAACTCTCCCCTCATCAGTCTGGGTTATTGTTCACATAAGAAATGTCAATCTGTCAGTCAAATTACGACCAACTGCCCCAACTCAATCTTAAAAACCAAGAGCAAGGGAAAAAGGATAGGCTTTACATCTATTCCCTCCTGACAATAAAAGGATAAAAAAATCACCTTTCAAAGTTTACTAGTAACTTGTAATAACAGTTAAAGGTAATAGTCAAAAAGACACTATGCAGTGGTGCCCTGTAATGTAAAAAGTGCAATGGGAGTGCAAAATTTGTGCGCTAAAGAAAACTAGAGTTATTGCAAGGAAATAAGGCATAATAATTTGACTCCTAGCAAGGCTAAACAAAGATGCAGAAGTGAATGGCTTTAACATCCATGACACCATCTTACTGATCTAATACACCTTCAGCTGGGTAGAATTCAAGCCAAAGAAGGTTTCACTCCCATTTTAAAAGGAAAATGACTTCAGTTGTGCTAAATGCTATAACACAACAAATTCCAGCTGCAAGATTGGGGGGGGGGGGGGCGCGGGGGGGTTACTCCCCTCCTGTAAACAAACCAGACTCTGCTGTTCCATGCTAACAACCCAATTACAAAAATAAAGCGGTTAAATGCTGTTACTTTTCAGAATGTCACTGAAGCCCAACATAGCCACAGCTGTCCAAAAACCTACTGCAACATTTTCACTTCAAAAAGAGTAAATGAGGCTGGAATTACCCCACCACCTTGAGTCCCCAGAATTCCCCGATGTTGGCCAATGCTGTACAATAGCTGGCAGCAAAGAAATTGGTTAGAAAACTCATCTGGCTTTTAAAAAATCATCCTCAACAACCAAGCAGAAAGCTCTGCCATACAAGCTGATCAGAGTATGTTTCCAGGCTGCTCAAACTCAATGATGCAAAAATAAAATAAAATAAAATAAGTGCTTAAAAGTTTGCAAGGTGAACCTGTGAGAAAGACCTCTAGATACTGGGCACGTGCACAAGTCAGACCCTGAAAAAGTACATTAATTGGCTACCTTAATTTCCCTTAAAATAAGTCAGGTTAATTAAACCTACAAGCTTATAAAAAACAAAAACAATTATATACCCTTATTACCCCTTTCCCTGTGGTTTTTGTAGGGCTAGAATTGGTTCCATTTCATCTTCCCTAACAGAAAAACCCCAGCTCTCCTCCACAACACTGTCACATCAGAGCATTGCAGTCATCTGACTAGAGCAGGATTGTATTGAACTGACACATTATGATGCCACCAAAAAAATGTATTAAAAAGGTAAAAGTGTTACTGTCAGCTGGTTAAAACTGTTTCCCAACCTGTCCTCTGGGTTAGGGGGGATGCCCAGGTCTCCTGTGCGCAGTTTACGAGTCAGGTCTTCAATCTGCAGTTGCACTGGAAGAAACCAGGTTAGGAAAGAAAAAAGGATGGAAAAAAGACATTGTTACCAAAAAACATTTCAAATCTTAACATCAAAGCATGAAGAACGGGAGACTTTGCAATGGACGACTGATATTGTGAACAAATCGAAGGAGACCCGCACAATGTTATGTCAGCCAGCTAAGTTCAGCAGGAATCCAGAAAGGCTCACATTGATCTTATTTACATCTAGCTAGCCTTCTTCAAAGAGGATTATTAATTAGAAAGCAAAGTGCTCAACTGAAATGTGGTTAGCAGAAAGAACTGTCTGATCCCTGAGACTACAACTAGCAAGTCACTGGAAGCCAAAACTCTTTCTGACCCGCTAAAACTGGTATTAGATCCAGGCCTAATGGAAAATGCCTTTGCAAGCAATTCCATTGTCCTACTGGACTACTTCTTTTCATAGCAGAGTAACAATTTTTGTAAATACCAAAATAATTTTACTGCTGATTTCAGAGCCAATTAAAAATGTGACTTGAATTAATGTTGCTGAAGTCAGACATACCAGTTTAGAAAAGGTCTCATTTCTTTTCCTAAGGCAAAAGCACATGGGCCATGCACCGGTGCATGTCTTTATTCTTAACAGAACTCCTTAAGGTAAATGAAAACAAACATACAGAAATTGCATGCACTGTACCACGCTACCTAACCCATACTATGTACAGACTCCAAAAGGCCTACTGCCGTTATAGGTCACAGACAAGGTAAGTCAGAAAGATTCAGGGTCAATTGTCAGATGATAAATTACTAAAATGTACAAGCAGCTAAGCTTGATTCTGTTCTGGGTGCCTGATGCTGTACAAAAGAAGAAAGATCAGGATCTCTGAACCCTGAGCAAAGAGATCTGGTTAATTTCTGGAGAAGCTGAATAGTAAGTGGTGGAGAGGGGTGCTAATCTGATCCACACTATTTCTTCTCAACATCCCTCCCCCATTTACTATTATTTTTAAATAAAAGTGCTGGTGTTACATTTGCTTCTTACCTTAGCATAGACTGAGAATTCTGAGCTGCAGTTATTTCATCCAATTGGCAGTAGTTATATGCTGGTTCCAGTTTAAGATTGTGTCATTCACACAGGAACCTTGCTTTTGTTTTGTGTGCACTATGTCTTGCACTTTTAACTCCTTTCAAATGATATTTAGAGCCTCTGAGAAACTGGGATGCTCACTGTCCTTGCCTACCAATCATTTCCCTTCTTTAAACTGTTCTTCAAGCAATCCTAGCTCTGTCTACCCCCCCCAAACCCTACATCTCTCCTCAATCCCTCGTCTCCCTCTTCTGAACTTGTATCCTGTGTTTTAAGTTATGCACACATTATAAGCTCTTTGAGGCATGATACATGTCTTAGCTTTGTTGCTGAAATAGCATGTACACATAAGGCTCTACACAAGTAACAAAACAGCAACTTCAAAAAATCTGGAAGTCAGACTATTCATGTCTACATTTCCCTCTGTAGAGCAGCAGATGTCAAAGCAGCTAACAACTGGCTCTTCTCTTAAATATCAGATGTTTGTTTTATGATACTGTATCAAAATCAGCTTTAAATTTCTGCCTAAAGAAGATCTTCTGGTACAGAAACTGACAGAATCAAGGGCAAAACCCACACTGTCTAGAAATTGACCTAGCAACCTTGACAGCAAACCATTAACAAACTTAGCTCTCAAGTAGCTATCAGCACTGCTGTGGATGAATAAAAAGACTAGTTACAATGCAAGTCAAAATTCTCAGTGGTTATGCAGAAGAAAGAAACCAAGGATTATTTTCAATCCCAGGGAGATGAACTGGATCACACTGTCTTGTGAAGAAGAGCTCGCTTTATGTAAAATGCAAGGACTAGAATTACATGTGACAATGCAAAGTCTCAGACACATTAAAAGGACTTTTTTGCCCTTTTTCACCCTCCTGGTTTATATTTGGTAGTTCATGAAAAGTGAATTTAGCATCACTGTTTGCAATTGAAGGCAAAGTTAATGTTAAACCTTGTATTTATAAACCAAGTTACTTAAACATTCTTATTCCCATACTGGAATGGGGTAGTCCCAAAGACAAATCTTAACCTTTGAAATTCCCTGTTTTCACAATTAACATTTCAAAACCCTTCATTCCCACAGGACTGAGCAGTATCCCTTTCCCAGCAGTTTGTGTGCATGTGAATACAGAGCTCATTTAGCAGAGCTCTAAACTAGAAGAGATACTGAAGGTTTAGATTTCTTGCCAAAGAACAGAAGCAAAGTTTCTCTATTTCCCTCAGAGCAAAACCAACATGACCGATACCACCTTGAACACAAAAACTGAACTTCTACAGGTGTCTTTTTTTAAAAAATTAAGCAGCCTAAAAGCAAGTCAGAGACTAGGTTTGAGGGGATTTCTGGTGCAAGGCTGTGCTGTGAATGAGGTACCTGCTTCCCACATAATACATTCAGTTTGAAGAGGGACCGGAGGCAGTGTTCTCCACTGGAGAGGTAATCCTAGAGGCCCCCACTGACTGTAATGAGATTACTAAATAGATGTTGAAAATAGGGGCTAATATACCCAGAGAAAGGACCACCCCACCCCTACAAAAACTGTTCTAGCCATTCCATTTTCACCATGCCTGTGGAGAACACTACTCCTGTCACAAGCAAGACAGGGGAGCTGCAACAGTGCACGACTGAGCAAAAATGTGCGAATTATTGATTTGAAGTTATGGAATAAGGCCACAATAACCTAAAGTCTAGAAAAAACACAGTTAACTTTCCAAACACTCAGCAACCAGAAATAGTCTCAGGATCACACCACTGACAGCAGATCAGATGGAAAAAGGGGAGAACGTGTATTTACCTATATAAGCTCTCTCTTGCTCACGAGTGAGTCCAGGAGGGATAACAGTGGGCATTCCTGGGATGACAGTCTTCTGTTCCATGGTGTCTTGGTTCCATCTGCTTCTCTTCCGCTTCTTATTAGGGAAATCTAAGGGCAAGCATCCTTCTTTAGACACACTTTGTGTTTATGAAGGTGTTTCTACTATTTGACTTACTGCATACATCTTACATAAACCATAATAGCTGCAACACTGAGCACACAGAATTCCCTTAAATCAGAAATACTGTCAAGACAACCTACTCCTTTCAATATCAAATCTCTCATTGGGATGAGGAGAGCTGCTCACAGGGGCAGTAAGGTCAAGTGGGTAGCACACTGAACCAAAATTATATTCTAGTCTAATCACTGACCTGCCATGTGACTTTGGGCAAATCACTTCACCTCTCTGTGCCTGTTTCCCCTCACACCCCTTGTCTATTTAGCCTTTAAGCTCTTATTATCACTATGTTTGCACAGCACCTAGCACAGTGGGAGCGCCATCTCTGTTGAGGCCATTGGGTGCTACCGTAATATAGATAATAGCAGCAACGGCAGAATTTAATCAGCAAACGTTGCCACATTAAGACTTATTTATTATCTGCAAACCAGCAAGGGGCAGAACCAGAAGTGAAACTGAAATTCAACAGAACAGTGGTATCAACTAAATAAAGTTATGCCCCTCCATAAGTCAAGACAAACGGAAAAACAGGAAGATGCTTCAAGATCACCACTCCAAAGCAAAAGAACTGCTCTCAAATCCAACTAACATTTTTCTAGTCACTTCAGCCACCATTTTTAAAGGGAACGCTGCAGTTCTGATCTCCGTCAGCAAAGCAACATGGCTGCCTCCCACAGCACCATTTCACATTCAGCCGCTCTGCACACATTTCAAGATCCCTTAAGGTAACAACAGTAAGTATTCTAGGGATATTTACATTGGATGATGTGATGGGAAACTATTAAACCACCAGAGCAATTTTCCTTTAACACTAGTGTAGGAAATTGTTACCCCCCCCCTTTTTTTATGAAGCTGATCTATGACTGGTTTCACCCAGGTACAACCAGAAAAGCATGTTGTATGATTTGAACACATTTTCAAAATGTGCTCTTCTAGAAAACATTAGAAACTTAAAAAGATTAAGTATCCCTAATCATCTAAGTAAAGAGAGAGACTAATAAAAATAGGCAGTTAAATGGACCAGGGCACCCCATTTCTTCCCAATCCTACAGAGACCTCCATTTTGGTTGGATGAGTATTTGCTAACTCCTACAGACAACACCAGGCCTTGTCTCTTCCAATACCACGCATCTGAGGCTGTTCAGTGCCTTACGGACTGCAGTTATTTTGTGTCCAAAGTTCCCCTGACTAGCACATGCCCACGTGTTACCTAGAACCCCCATTTAAGTTATCAACCTCCAGATCGGTTTCCATTCCCTTCTTACCCACAACCAGGTCTCGCCACCCAATTAAGAAGAATGTTCTCTTTTTCACTCCCTCCCTCAGAAAAGAGAGCAGCCACCACCTCAACCCCATCCTGGCCCCCACCCCCACATTTGGCACAATTCCAATCCCTTTCTCCAACCTTGCCTCATTTCCCCCCTTTCCCAGTCTACTCTCTACCTACACCTATTATACCCCCATCCCACCCAACTCTTTATTTGCCACAAACTCTTTCCTCTCCCAGAGCACCCAACATCATTGCTTCCTCCCATTCGCAAATCTACCTCATCTCCCACAAATACCCCTACAACGTAGTCTCATAGCCTCCCATTCCCTAAGCCCTTAAACCCCAAATTTACCCCATTGCTGTTTCTACCCCATCCCACAATTGCCAAAACTATAACCACCCCTAAGTTTCAGCCCCTTCAACTTCCATGGACCATCTCAAGCCCCCCGCCATTCCTTTGCTTTTAGTGCAACATTCTCCAAACTTGCCCCCTCAGCCTATACAACCAACTAACCTCAAGAAGCCCCAAGCCTACCCCTTCACCCCTTAGCACTGTCCCATTAGTGTACCCCCCCACTCCAGCCCTTTAGCTTCCACATCTCTTCCCTACTGTGCATAACTCTACTTCTACGTACCCCCATTGCCCTATAGTTCCTCTACATCCCTGCCTCAACCCTATCCATATAACTGACCCCCACCCAACCCAACTCTTCCTAGTCCCCCCCTTTTACCCTGCCCCTCACCGTGATTACTGCCCCCTCCCGGACCGCTCTCATCCTGCTGCTGTTGCTGCGGCGGCGGCGGCTGCTGCTCGTGGCCCTGTGGGGGCGGCGGCGGCGACGGGTACCGGTATTGTCCGTACTGAGGGGGGGGCTGAGGCCCCCCAGCCTGAGGTGGCGGCTGTTGCTGCTGCGGGGGAGGAGGAGGGGGTGGGGGCGGCGGGGGCTGCGGCTGCTGCGGCGGGGGCTGAGGCTGGGGTGGCGGCGGGGGCGGCGGCGGAGGAGGGGGCGGCGGCGGCAGCGCGGCGAAGGGGTAGGCAGCAGCCGCCATGGGGCCTAGCAGAGCGGCTTGGGCCTGGCCCGGGCCTGGGGGTGGTGGAGGGGGAGGGCCTGGAAGGACCAGCCCTGGGGGACCCGGCGGAGGCATCGGGTAGCCCGGTTTCCCCGGCGGTGGGGGTGGATGGAGCTTCCCTAGCGGCGTGGCGTTGGCTCCAGTCGCCGCCATTAGAGTCTCCTCAGCTCGCGGCGTTCGCGTTTCGCGAACCTTCCAGCCTTTGCACCGCATAAAGCTGTTCGAAAGTCATTGGTCGCGGAGATGTCAGTCGTACTCGCGCTTCCTTCCATTGGCAGACTCTTACGTCCATTGTCCTTCCGCGGGGTTCCATTGGCCGAGATGCTCCAATGAAGGAAAGCGATTGGAGAAAAGCGGTCGAGTGGTGGAGGCAGCACGCATAGGTCAGTTGAGATGTCACTCTGCAGCGAACTGCGGTGGGAATGGTTGAGAGGCAGGATGAGTGAGCAGCGTTGGGGAAAGACAAGTTTTGATTGGTCGGCTGGGAACGTAAGGCGCGGTACTAGCTGTATGGCACGGTGGGCGGGAGCGTTGTTGAGTATCCGTGTTGGTACTGGATGAAGAGACGGAGGGCGGGTGCTCGGGGTGGCGAGCCGCGTAGGGATTGGTTGGTTGGGGGGGTGTCTTGCCACACGCGCGGTGCGCCTGAGAGATTTTGGAAAGGTCGTTGGCAGACCCCGTACTGTGCGGGGGCGGTTGGTAGTGACGTTAATGCGGAGGGTCGCTCTCATTGGGCAATACGCAGAGCGGGCGGTCATGATTGGGGAATGGGGCCTTTCAACTAACGCAGCGTTCCTTCTCTGATTGGTGAGTGACAGGGCAGCAGCGATCCAGGCTGCCGAGTGGCGAGCTGAGCTCCAGTCCGTGTTGGGACTGTAGTAGGACCCCCCGCTTCCCCCCACAGACATGCTAGGAGCCCCAGGGGCTGCTGGGAGTCACCCAGCTAGGGGGCCATGAGGCTCATGGGAGCTAGGCCAAGGGAAGGCTGCCAGCTGACGGGGGGGTGTTAACTCCTCGCACACACCAAGGGCTATGTGCCAGCAGCAGGGGGGCAGGGGCCACACCTTGCAGTCACTGCTGAGCGTGCTCAGGCTCAGTCTCACCCCCTGCACCTGGCAGGGCCTTCGGGGGAGCAGGTTAGGAGCCCAGATAGGTACCATGGTGATAGGACCTGGGGACACTCACAGGAGTCCTTGGCCCCCCTGGCTGCAGTTAGGGGCATGGGAGTAACTGAGCAGTAGCCTGGGGCTGATCTAGTGCACTCTTCTCTTTTCTGGCTCCCCGCTCAGCAGCTATTTCTCCTTTTCCACAAAACCCCTCTGTCTCCAGCCACTCCCTGCTCTGGGGCTGCTTTTCACTTGCAAGGAGAGCATAGCCCCAGCCCCAAAACAAACATCAGTTCTCTATTTTCCTTCTCCCTGTCCAGCTCCTAATGATATTGGGTGGCACTCTGTGAGAATTGCAGAGGGGGCGGAGGGGCATAGAGGGCAGAAGGAGGTTTCAGGCAGGACTGAAGACCAGTCCTTAACAATTAGGGTGACAGTATTAAAGATTAGGGAGGACAGCTAGAACAGCAGTGGAGCTGAACAGCCAAAGAGGCCCCAGTGGCTCTCCCCTCTTCAGTGATTCACCCAATTAACACCAAGCAAACAAAAGACAGGTTTAATATCTCTTTATCTTTTAAATAGCATATTTTTTCAAGTTTGGTTTCTTTTATCCATAAATTCCAGCTTTCAGTTAAAAACCACAGAGAAATTAGCAAAACAGAAAGGAAAGCTTCCACTGCCTGAGTTACTAGAGCCGTCGGCCCCAGGATTCTGGTCTCTGTCACACTGGCATTTGGGGTTGGCACTGGTTTCCAAGGTAGCAAAAGAACAAGGCATCCCAGCAGCCAGCCAATGCAACATACTGCCTGCCAGTATGAAGCACTCTGCTTCACTTCAAAGCAGTCATCTGACCACCCATCTTTTCACACTCAAAATACCAGTCATGCCAGCCATGCACCCAGCCCCTCCATAGCAGACACACTCAAACCTCTCTTACACCAATCAGCCACCCACTCTACCAAGCGATTGGCCTGTTCAGTAATCAAGTCCCTTACCTAACTACTGTACCTGCCCCATCAACCAAACACATATTTCCTCCCATTCAACCCAAGCACTGCCCCAGCCACTTCTAAACAAACCCTGCTGTCCAAATGGACTCATCTCATCCTAACAACCACCACACCCAACCAACAAGCACTCAAGCTCTCTGCAACCAAGCCACCAGCCAGCTGCTCAAACCAGCCAATCTGGACGCCCAGCTAGCCATCCCACCCATCCCCCATCAGAACCCATCCAGCCAAGCAATCGGCACAACCATTACCAAAATAGTCAAACAGCTATCCCAGCCACTGATTAAATTCAATAGGTTTGTCCCACCTCAGGCATTGCTCGATGCTCACACCTTGAATGACAAGATGCAGAATTGCTTTCCCACTCCTTTTGCAGCTGAAGGCGTGTGCCAGATTTCTGGACCTTAAGTGCTACATAGGGAACACAATGCATCCACTAGAAAACCGATTGTCTTCATGTTGAAGCTGGAGGAGGAGGACACTCACACCCTGTGTCTCCAGAAGACATCTTCTTAGGGTTAAGAACGGGGAGGGAGGGGGAAGCATTCAACAGGCACAGGTATCAGTCAAGACAGACTGCAGAGGTGTCTTTGGACTGGGTAGTCAATTATTGCAGACGTAAGGGTCTCAGGAGATGCTGGCCCTAAAAGGGGAGAGGGAATCTCTCCATACACTCCTGAAAAGCAGGGGTATCTCAGGAAGACTTTGGACAATAGGACAAGTGGACTGTAGAGTTTATAGAGTAGAACTCATCTGACATGGATTCCCGCAGCAGAAGACAGGCCGCACTCATGGGAATATTTCCCCAAGGCTCCCGCTACCTGTGCGCCTCCACTGAGCTTCTCAGCTGTCAGCGGTTTAAACATCACAGCAGGATTTCCCCCTCCACCCACTCTGCATCAGTCTACACGGGATGTTGGAAAGGCAGTTCTGCACGCTCAGTAGCTGCTCTCATGTCCCGTTAGGATGTAGAGGTTGCTGTGAGCCAAGGGATTCTCTGTGGGCGTGCTCTCCAGGATGATATCTCTGGGAGGAGAGGTAGAGGCAAGAGCAATGAGTAAACGTGGAGAGACGATGGTCAGAGCATATTTTGAGCAGAACAGGAGGATTGGTAACCCCGACCTGACTTGAGAGGTGCCGCACCCAAGCAAGGAATGCAACTCGGCAAAGCCAGCCCCAGCCATGATTGTACCCCAAACCCAGCCACGTAACCCTGGCCACCATGCAAAACCAGCCTCTCCAACCCAACCATGCAAAATCAACTCTTGGTTCAAGTGCTGGGCACATTTCTCTGACCTCACCATTTATAATATAAACACAGAAGTATTTTATTATATAAACCCCAACCAAACCAAGCATGTGCCATTCCCTGCACATGCTTCTCCCCTGGCAAGATGATGGGAGAACAACCACCACTGCCTAATGTGCTACTGGCTCTGATACTGCAGTGAGAAGCACAGTATAAGACTATATATAGAATAGAATAACTTCATCCCAGCCATGCAAACCCAGCCCCCAATGCAGCACATCCACCACGCAACCTCCAGCTACCCCAGAATGCAGCCCAAACCCTGACACAGCGCCGTGCATCCTCAAAACAGGCCTGCAAATCCACCCAGTCATGTAACGTCCAGCAGGAACAGGGGCACAGGATGGACACAATAGAGAGTCAGGGTGGTGACCAGCTACTGAAGTGACCCAGCCCATGCAAGAGGAAGGAAAAGAAGTTCACAACTCCTGGTCTCCCAGTCCCCCGATAATTTTCCCACTGTCCCAGCCTTGCAGCCCCGCAACACTTGATCAGAGGGTGGAGAGAGCAGGTTCCTACCAATGGCACAGCCAGACTGGGGGTAGCCAGCCGGAGCAGGGCAGCCACACCGCTTGATCAGAGGGTGGAGAGAGCAGAACAAGAATTCTCTGTTGGTGGTGCACTCCCTGCTGCCACCTGCCCTGACTGCATCCTCGCTTTGGGGCCTCACCTGTTGGCTCCCAGCACCCGGAACACCCTGGATTTATCTGTGATTTCTTGGGTCACCTGTCAAGGAGAAGGGTCAGATCAGCACACAGTTCTCCTGGCCCAGATCCTTGCTGGGTCAGTGCATCTCCATCCCCCTCCCAAACCAGGGTGGTGGGAGAGAAGGGGACAGATCCTATACCACGTAGTCTCCAGCAGGAGCAATGCCAACTCCATGCATCATCTCCAAGTTAATCCCCCCTGCAGAGTCTGATCCCCCTCTTTGGGGAAGATAGGGAAATACATCCACCCAAGCCCTGACCTGCACTCACCTCGTTGCCCTCCAAGCTGCGGCCCTGCATGCCATGTTTCCAGAAGGCCAGTACGCTGTCTTGAAGGCACACTGCGGTGGGAGGGACAGAAAGAAGGGGGTGAGCAGCAGGTGGTATGGACAACCCCCACCTTGGGGAAGCTGGCAGGTGGAGGACACTGCTACCAGGACAGGGAGGAGAATGCTGGAGGAACAGAAGGCTGGACAGCTCCTGAGGTCACCAGGCCAGGCAGGAGTGTGGGCTGGGAGATGGGCAGACCAGTGGCAGCTCTCTCCCCAAGAGACCTCCCTCCACTCACCAATTGTCTCAATGGGGAAGTTGAAGGTCAGTTCTGGGGCCAGGGCTCTCTTGGGGGCCCCACACAGGTTCACCGTCCTTACATAGCCTGCAGCGGAGAAAGAGCAAGGCAGTCGGTACCAGCTGTGGCCAAGGCTGAGCCAATGAGAGGGCCATGCCGGAGGAGGGACTTACGCTCAAAGCAAACGAGGACTGTGTCTCTGTCCATCTGAGTCACGTGGCAGGCCACACTGGAAGCCCCATCTGCAATGACAGCAGGAGAGACACATTGAGACTCTAGGGGAGCTGGTGCCCTCTAGTGGGAAAAGGCCCCATACCCCATTCCCTTCCCTAGGAGCCCACCAATTCCTCCAGAGAGGAAAGGACCTGAATCACATTCCCCACCCTGGGGCCAGATTCAAGTTGTCATCCCCTGGAGGGGAAAGGCTCTGAGTCCCATTCCCTGCCTCTCCTAAGCCAGCCATTCATCCCCCCCCACCACCCTGGGGCCCATGTGTGCTGGTACCCCCTAGAGGGGAAAGGCCCCATGTCCCATTCCCCACTTGGGTGTCTCTTACCTGCAGAGGGCTCAGTGCTGAGGCTGGAGTTGGTGCTGAGTGAGAGGACATTAAACTCCAACTCCTGGCCCGGCTGATCTCGGTCCACAACACGCACACACACCTGGGGGTACTCTTCCGTCTCCAC